GAGAGAGAGAGAGAGAGAGAGAGAGAGAGAGAGAGAGAGAGAGAGAGAGTCAGGACCAGAAAGAGTCAGGACCAGAGAGAGTCAGGACCAGAGAGAGAGAGAGTCAGGACCAGAAAGAGTCAAGACCAGAGAGAGTCAAGAACAGAGACAGTCAGGTCAAGAGACAGTCAGGACCAGAGACAGTCAGAACCAGAGAGAGTTAGGACCAAAGACAGTCAGGACCAGAGAGTGTCCGGACCAGAGAGAGAGAGTCAGGACCAGAGAGAGTCAGGATCAGAGAGAGTCAGGACCAGAGCGAGACCCAAAATCATAGAGAGGTAGGACCAGAGAGAGAGAGAGAGTCAGGACCAGAGAGAGAGAGTCAGGACCAGATAGAGAGTCAAGACTAGAGAGAGAGTCAGGACCAAAGCAAGTCTGAAACACAGAGAGATTCAGGACCAGAGAGAGAGAGAGAGAGAGTCAGGACCAGAGAGAATCAGGACCAGAGAGAGTCAGGACCAGAGACAGCCAGGACAAGAGACACTCAGGACCAGAGACAGTCAGGACCAGAGAGAGAGAGTTAGGACTAAAGAGAGTCAGGACCAGAGAGAGAGAGAGAGTCAGGACCAGAGAGAGAGAGTCAGGACCAGATAGAGAGTCAAGACTAGAGAGAGAGTCAGGACCAAAGCAAGTCTGAAACACAGAGAGATTCAGGACCAGAGAGAGAGAGAGAGAGAGTCAGGACCAGAGAGAATCAGGACCAGAGAGAGTCAGGACCAGAGACAGCCAGGACAAGAGACACTCAGGACCAGAGACAGTCAGGACCAGAGAGAGAGAGTTAGGACTAAAGAGAGTCAGGACCAGAGAGAGATAGTCAGGACCAGAGAGAGTCGGGACCAGAGAGAGAGAGAGAGAGAGTCAAGACAAGAGAGAGAGAGTCAGGACCAGAGAGAGTCAGGACCAGAGAGAGAGAGAGAGAGAGAGAGAGAGAGAGAGAGAGAGAGAGAGAGAGAGAGAGAGAGAGAGAGAGAGAGAGAGAGAGAGAGAGAGAGAGAGAGAGAGAGAGAGAGAGAGAGAGAGAGAGAGAGAGAAAGAAAAAGAGAGAGAGAGAGAGAGAGAGAGAGAGAGAGAGAGAGAGAGAAGAGAGAGGAGAGAGAGAGAGAGAGAGAGGAGAGAGAGAGAGAGAGAGAGAGGAGAGAGAGAGAGAGAGAGAGAGAGAGAGAGAGAGAGAGAGAGAGAGAGAGAGAGAGAGAGAGAGAGAGAGAGAGAGCGAGAGAAGAAGAGAGAGAGAGAGAGAGAGAGAGAGAGAGAGAGAGAAAGAGAGAGAGCGACGACGAGAGAGAGAAGAGAGGCGAGAGAGAGAGAGAGAGACAGAGAGAGAGAGAGAGAGAGCGGAGAGCAGAGAGAGAGACGAGAGAGAGAGAGCGAGAGAGAGGAGAGAGAGATAGTGAGATGAGAGAGAGAGAGAGAGAGAGAGAAGAAGAGAGAGAGAGAGAGAGAAAGAAATCAGGACAGAGAGAGAGTCAGGATCACAGAGAGAGTCAGGACCAGATGACTGCGATAAGGACCATCTCAGCTCTGAGAGTGACGACCGAGGTCAGACCAGAGAAGAGTCAGGGACCGAGAAAGAGAGTCAGGCCAGAAGAGAGTAAGACAGGAAAGAGAGAGTCAAGATCAGAGAGAGAGTCAGGATCAGAGAGAGAGTCAGGACCAGAGAGAGAGTCAGGACCAGAAAGAGAGGCAGGTCCAGAGAGAGAGTCAGGATCAGAGAGAGAGTAAGGATCAGAGAGAGAAAGTCAGGACCAGAGAGCATTAGGACTAGAGCGAGGTTGTTTGTTTGAGTAACATAATAATTTTCAGGAATAAGAAAGCGTAAAAGCGTTATTGGGCTATAAAACCAACTATAATCGATATCTCGTGCAACGTTAGCAGTAACATGAGGAATAGTCACCAAAATGAGTTGCTTGCCTGCTGTGTTTTTTTTGTACTTTGCTCTTTACGCTCAAGTTGCATAGCTGCAATAAACATAATATTGCAACGAACATTTCTATCTGAAAATTGTGTTAGTACCTACTTGTTCGATTGCCTCGATCTTTCGGTTTCAGCTTAACTCCCTAGGTCATATCATGAGTAGAACCATAGGATCAAAATATATTGCTTGTTGCTCGTATTAACTATAAAATATCAATTTTGAGGGATAAGGAATTGTTTATATGTTCTGAAACCTAGTTAAATCGATTTTTCGTGCAATTTCTGATCAGAAACAGTCATCAAAATGAGTTAATAAAAAGGTCGATTTCTCGGTAAATTTTGAGTTTTCGTTCAAATAAATATTTTGCTAAGAAGTAAGAACTTAAAAACGCGCATATTCAATCCTCGCGCGAATAAATCATAAGGAGGCGAATATTTTGCTAAGAAAGCGTAGATTTAACTCTTGCGCAAATAAATTATAAGGAGGCGAATATTTTGCTAACAATGCGAAGATTTCATTCTCGTGTAAACAAACTAAAAAGGAGCGTGCAACGCGCGTCAGACCGTTATTAGGCAAATATTTTTTTAAAGAATTCGAGTGAAATCGATTGAAATATCACGAAGTTTTAAGTTTAGAGAGAAACTGGATCATCAGCATATCCATGATTGACGAATTAGTTATTTTACTGTTTACAAACATAACTTAGGTAATTCACAAGAAGTTTTCTTCGAGTTTGACAAAATAGATTTTTCAATATATTTCCCTGGTGGACTTCAGTGCGTGTTCAGAAGGTAGTTGACTTTAGTTCGGGTCAACTTACGGTCATATCACGTGATCGATGTTAGTAGTACCTGTTCGATCATTGAAGGTGAGGATTGCCTCGATCTTTCGGTCTCAGCTTAAGTTCAACTCCGTAGGTCATGACTCATGATTAGGGCTGTAAAACCAATTTAAATCGATTTCTCGTGCAACGTTGTACAGGTGAGGAACAGTCACAAAAATGAATTGCTTACCTGCTGTGTTTTGTCGTACTCTGCTCTCCGATCAAGTTCGATCAGTTGAGGTGAGGATTGCCTCGATCTTACGGTTTCAGCCCTAGGTCAAGAGCTGTAGAACCGAAGGATCAATACAATATACCTACATGTTGGCGTTGCTTGTTGCTCGTATTAACTATAAAACATAAATTTTGAGGAATAAGGATTTGTTTATAGGTTCTGAAACCTTGGGCTGTTTAGCAGCTTTCCGCTTCAGTGCATGCTCGGCTCACATCCTTGGATACGAGAACCAGCCCCTTTTGGACCTGGCTCACGTCCGTTATGTGAACACATGCCGAGAGCTCAAACACTTCTTAAAATCCTTTATAATACACAACTACTTACTAAACTGTCATGTGAATAATATGGATCTAGGTAAACTATAGGTAAAAATATAATATTAATCATCAGCTAAAATGTACTAATCTTTGTATTCTAAATGGGGAAATCACAAATGATACGTCACTGATTGGGCCATGTGATGTGATACCTAGCTGTGGGAGGCCGGAATAAGAGGTTCCTAGTTGTCGGTCACCGCTAAGTTCTAACACTAAAGTTCGCTAGGTAGATTCGCTACTGTCCAATTGTTTAAATTTTGTTGTTTCTAGCGGAGTAAAGTCTAAGTCATAGGTACCGCACTCTAGTTCGGAAAATGATGTTTTGTTAAACAAATCGAAGCGGTTACTGTTAGGTAGGTAGTCGTACTCGTACACAGTTATAATTAACAAGTTAACATCAACTAAAGTTTAATTGGTAAATATAAACACACTTTAACTTTGAGCGTGTGTTTTAGACCTCATTATAACCGGCATTAGTGCAATAATTCGTACTGTGGTTTGATATTTGAAACGGGATGAAGTTTAGATTTTTAACTGCTAACACTATAAAGGTAATCTTTCGCACTACACTGACTACAGTATGTGTCGCACTACAATCCAGGTAGCGAACTCTATTATATTCAGTGCGACACAATATCCTATCTTATTTCCAAGTTCAGGTCAGATCCTATCCTTCTTTTGGATCATAAACTCATCAAGTGATTCGTCAGGCCGGTTCACGTTACTTATTTCGAAGTGATCTTGTGGACGCGATTCGTCGGTCACGTTATGTATTTCGATCCACTGATCATAATTCCTTCGGGTCAGTTCAATCCACGTATACAGTATGTGATCCACTGCAGAGTCGTAAGCAGCATATGATCCTAATTCCTATCACAAATGAAGTTATGTAAAATATAAGGTGGCAAAGATTTTTCTAAGAAAGCGTAGCTAGATTTAACTCTCCCGCAAATAAATTATAAGGCGGCAAATATTATGCTAAGAAAGCGTAGATTTAACTCTCCTGCAAATAAATTATAAGGTGGCGAATATTTTGCTAAGAAAGCGTAGATTTAACTCTCGCGCAAATAAATTATAAGGTGGCGAATATTTTGCTAAGAAAGCGTAGATTTAACTCTCGCGCAAATAAATTATAAGGAGGCGAATATTTTGCTAAGAATGCGAAGATTTCATTCTCGCGTAAACAAACTAAAAAGGAGCGTGCAGCGCGCGTCAGACCGTTTGGCAAATATTTTGCTAAGAATGCGCATTTTCCTAACGTAAAATTCGCCTCCTTATGAAATATTTGCATCATCACGCGCAGCCTGGCAAATACATCATAACACGGCGCATATTTTGCTAAGATGGCAAATATTTCGTTAGCGCGGCAATTATTTGCGTAACATGGCAATGTTGCAACCCGGGAGGGGGCTCTTTATAAAAGTTATGAATGTTCTAATTAATCCTCAGCTCCCACCACTATAGTGTATGTTTACATTGCTCCTTTATAAAAGTTATGAATGTTCTAATTAATCACCATCCTCAGCTCCCACCACTATAGTGTATGTTTACATTGCTCCTTTATAAAAGTTATGAATGTTCTAATTATTCACCATCCTCAGCTCCCACCACTATAGTGTATGTTTACATTGCTCCTTTATAAAAGTTATGAATGTTCTAATTAATCACCATCCTCAGCTCCCACTACTATTGTGTATGAAACTGTTCAAACTACATTACCCACCAAGGATATGATGACCTATGAAGCTTCAGATGAGTACGGTTAGTTAGTGTTTAAATGAAACTTTGTTGAAGGTTGACAACTTTGTGATATCACTTTGTTTCTCAAATTATCCTGTTTTAATTAAATTATTAATAAACTTTGTTACTGGATTCACGATCATTATTGATAACTTTACATGTAAGCAAACCTACCACTTCTAACCATCATTACTTTTTTGGAAAAAGGTGGATGGAAAAACAATAATCCTTATCCCAGGATCCTCAGCTGAAGAAGGGCTGTGTTTTATGGCAGTAAAGGCAGCTCAGATAAGAAAGCAGTACAGTGGTCTGATGATCGTGTATATTCCTACCTGCAGTCAGGACGGGAGCTTTACTGCTCTGCAATGTGGTATGTGCACATGTATACACCATGTAACCATGGTTATATATTGTAACCATGGTTACATCGTAGTAATTATTATCTTTAAATTGGTGATCATTTGGATTGCTAAATTGATGGACGGATAAAAATATGAATGTTTTAAGGCCTTCGAAATGATTCGAAATATCATTGCTTTGCGAGTCGAGTGTGCCGCGTGTATTTGATTAAATGAGCTATATGCTCCGTATTATTGCTTATATTTTATATTTTACTCGGCGGTCATTAAACTTCCTCGATAGCTATAACTAAATAAGACTCATGTTTTTACAATAATGTCACAGCAATGAACTACAGCACACTAGCTAACATGTTAAAACAGAATACAGCGCTCACTGCAAACAAGTTCCACACCTCACTAAAACAGAATACAGAGCTCACTGCAAACAAGTTCCACCATCCACCCCTCACTAAAACAGAATACAGCGCTCACTGCAAACAAGTTCCACCCCTTTACCCTCCTTCTTCTTGCATTCACAAAACTTATTGCAACCTCCTTCCTCGTCGTCAAAAAACGCTGTCACATATTCCTCCTTCTTTGCGAACCCAGCAATATTGTCCTTGTTAACGTAAGAACACCTGTTCCTACAGGAATTCATCTCGGTTCCATCTCCACAATCATGGGTAACTTCCCCTTCGTCGTTCTCCGTGCAGCTGCAACGCTCACACCCGTTATGGAAGTTATATCCGAGGAAGGCTGGGGTTGTTTCACCCTTCTTGACGTAGAGACAGCATTTGGTGTTTTCAGTGCACTCTATATGACCTGTTAATTACAATGTGTGTTTTACATTGTATAAACTACTTTCACAACTACAATTAAATACATTAATTGAGGATGAAGGTATATTTTACCGATATTTGAAGTCAAGGCGTTGTTTTACTGACAGTTGTGGCTGCACAACAATATATACAATCAACACCGACTTTTAATGTGTAGGAGTACAGCAACAAAATATATATATATACTAGAAACCCGCTAGTCGAAAGCTTTGTTCGAGGAAATTTTAAAAATCAGTTATGTTTTAATTTCTCTTCATCATACAGCTCTGTTATACAGTAGACATAATGGAATTTATTTAACAATGGCGACAGCGTTGTTAGTATTAGGATTCCCAAAACGATACTTTTTACCGCATCAAAAAATACCAATCACAACCAAAGTTATGAATATAAGTCATAGCGTGAGCGTAAATGTGAGCTAGTTTTGAAGTTATGACGTAGCATACAGCATAACAACGCGCGTAGTTAAGATGTTCTTGCTCGCGCACGTGCATTTTTATCGTTGCTACGCAACAGCGCAGTAAACCTTTGCTAAAATAACGCCATTATTCTAACGATTATTTAACCTCACTTCCGACGTTAATTATAAAAAATCTAAAGCCTAAATCAAAATTCTAAGAATGCTATAGCCTATTCCTATCCTTTTTCTACAACCCTGCTAAAAATGGCGAGGTTTCAACTCCATTTGCGAGCTGGGTTTGGCATCACCAGAGGGTCATTTTGAGGTCGATTTTCGGTGTTTTTTCTTCTATGTCCCCGTTGCCGGGGAAATTTCGTCAAGTTTAAATTATAGTATAGATATATATATATTGTTGTGCAATGAAAGTGATCCTGCAGATTCATCTGCATAGATATAAGAGCATGTTAAACACTACCTTTAATTAACGGCAGCTAATTAATTAACTAATTAATTAACGGCAGCTAAACGTTTATGGTGAAAACAAAATGACACAAGGCTAATTGTAGCAGTTCAATAGAACCTACTAACTTACTAAACTCACCATCTGCCCTACACGTGCAAGTTTCGCAACCATCATAGAAGGTATCATAAAGATAATAAACCCTCCTGTTAGCGTAGCACTCTGGGAGAAGCACCTGTGCAGAGGTGAGTTCCAAACAAGTGAGGGTGAACAGCAGGACTCGGAACATGGTACTTTCCTTTCTGGTTGTGCTTAGTTTGTAGCGGACTTAGTAACTTTAGTAGTTGAGTAAAAAAGTCATGGTCTGTATCAGTATATATCAGTATATATACGAACATTGAGTAAAGTTGATCTTCTAATTGAATCGAACTTCCTAAGTAGGTAGTAACGTAGTAACGTACGCCACGTACGAGCAAGGCAATCATGTGGATAATTTGTACAACTATATTTAAAACCACCCGTTAAGGGGTATGTACTACAATCCGGGAGGGGGCTTATATATATGCAGACTTATTAATCTTTACTCCTATCAAGAAATCTATAGATAATAAAGTTCATTGAAAAAAACAGAAAGGGGGGGGGGGGGTAAAAAACAGAAAGAGGGAGGGGGGGTAAAAACAGAAATAGGGGGGGGGGGGGTAAAAACAGAAAGAGGGGGGGTAAAAACAGAAAGAGGGGTGGGGGTAAAAACAGAAAGAGGGGGGGGGGGGGGGGGGGGGTTAAAAACAGACAAACTTTTAGTTAGCGATCAAATCATCGGCTGCTGAAACATTTCTGAAAACTGATATTCACCGATATCAATCAATCAAAGATCAAATTGAATCTCGACTACTTTTCATGATGGGATGATAAAATTGAGCCGGCAAAGTTTTCCTTTGTACTTTCACCCTTAGTACAAACATTTCAATAATTTCATTTTAAGTGAAGGCGTCAACGTTAAGCTAGTGCACTCATTTTCATGATGCCAGTTAGTGCTGCACCACATAGCCTTAAGTTTGTGAAGCAAAACGGATCGTTTCCAGTGAATATCATCAAAAACTGAGATTTAACTTACAAATTTGTGGGTTGCCAAAGGACTAAAAGCGTTCAACTATTCCCGCACCACATCTTTACTGTCCAGAGTTTCATATGTTCGATAATGCATTATATTGTGTGTCATCGATATCATCTTTTGTCAAACTTTCATCTCGACCCAAATCATTACTGTCACGGGGTCCGGACTCTACTGTCACATATAACCCACTTCCTCTACCTGGACACTACTACTATACTACATATAATATCTTGTTACCAGGACAACAGACCCATATTACCCGGTCACTATAATCTCTTGTTACCATGGACAACAGACCCATATTACCCGGTCACTATAATCTCTTGTTACCAGGACAACAGACGTGCTGGTGTGTAAAAGAAGAAGGGGAGCTGATCACAGAGAGTATAGACCCGACCAGGGAACTAACTACGGAACAGTGCCTTCTCTACAGAGGAGCCATGTTAGAGGACAATAATGAGATTGAAGGTTCATTTGTTTTTACTTGTAAAGGGGTACTCCGTACTCTCCTAGTCGTGGCGTGCACTGCAGAGTAATTCCTTGTTCCGACGTATTAATAAGACCCCTCCTCTTTTTATAATTAACATTATTTTAGGAACATAATATGTTAGCTTGAAAATAAAGGTATACTAAAACATAAACCCATGACTCCCTCCAGGGGAAGCATTGTGCGTGGTAAAAGCACGTGTTTACGACCTGGGAGAGCAGTTTAGAGAGGGCTGCAATGTCTGCACGTGCCGGGGAAGGAACAAGATTAATTGTAGTCCTACCACCGAGTGTCAGCAGGGTAAGAAGTGTTAGTAACAGTGTCAGTAACACTGTAAGAAGTGTTAGTAACAGTGTCAGTAACACTGTAAGAAGTGTTAGTAACAGTGTCAGTAACACTGTAAGAAGTGTTAGTAACAGTGTCAGTAACACTGTAAGAAGTGTTAGTAACAGTGTCAGTAACACTGTAAGAAGTGTTAGTAACAGTGTCAGTAACACTGTAAGAAGTGTTAGAAACAGTGTCAGTAACAATGTACGAAGTGTTAGTAACAGTGTCAGTAACACTGTTAGAAGTGTTAGTAACAGTGTCAGTAACACTGTAAGAAGTGTTAGTAACAGTGTCAGTAACACTGTAAGAAGTGTTAGTAACAGTGTCAGTAACACTGTAAGAAGTGTTAGTAACAGTGTCAGTAACACTGTAAGAAGTGTTAGTAACAGTGTCAGTAACACTGTAAGAAGTGTTAGTAACAGTGTCAGTAACACTGTAAGAAGTGTTAGTAACAGTGTCAGTAACACTGTTAGAAGTGTTAGTAACAGTGTCAGTAACACTGTAAGAAGTGTTAGTAACAGTGTCAGTAACACTGTAAGAAGTGTTAGAAACAGTGTCAGTAACAATGTACGAAGTGTTAGTAACAGTGTCAGTAACACTGTTAGAAGTGTTAGTAACAGTGTCAGTAACACTGTAAGAAGTGTTAGTAACAGTGTCAGTAACACTGTAAGAAGTGTTAGTAACAGTGTCAGTAACACTGTAAGAAGTGTTAGTAACAGTGTCAGTAACACTGTAAGAAGTGTTAGTAACAGTGTCAGTAACACTGTAAGAAGTGTTAGTAACAGTGTCAGTAACACTGTTAGAAGTGTTAGTAACAGTGTCAGTAACACTGTAAGAAGTGTTAGTAACAGTGTCAGTAACACTGTAAGAAGTGTTAGTAACAGTGTCAGTAACATTATAAGAAGTGTCAGTTAAACTGTAAGAAGTGTTAGTAATAGTGTCAGTAAAACTGTAAGAAGTGTTAGTAACAGTGTCAGTAACACTGTAATAAGTGTTACTGAGCGAGATTAGATTAACATTTAGATATTTCACTACCAGCTGGTCTGTTCAACGAGGTGATATTACGACGAATTTATTTAAGGAATAATAATAAGAACGCATAATATTTAGCTAATAAACGATCACCCAATCACAAAAAAAAAGAAAATTGTTTTTACCTCCATATCGTTCATCAATTTACACTTTGTATTTCAGAGGAGATATTCTGCGAGTACTGGGATAAGTTTGACTTCACCTGTTCTTCCTGCACGTGCGATGGCGTGCAGTCCTCTTCCTTCACGTGTCTTACTTACGACAGGCACTGTGGAAAAGAGATGTCCCCTGAAGATAATAAAATATGGTGGGTAGAAATCTTAGTAGTGTTGAGCTAGGGGCTTTGAAAACTGTTGATTATCACTGTTTTGGGATGATAATGATGAGCTATTTTGAGGCTTAAACAGTAGTTAACACTTTAACAGTATGAGTTAGAAATAGTTCTGAAAACAAGTTTCTTTCCATTTATAATTTTGCATGATCCAGCATGATTGTTGACCTCTTTGTCTCCACATGATTATTGTTGACCACTTTGTCTCCACATGATTGTTGACCACTTTGTCTCCACATGATTGTTGACCACTTTGTCTCCACATGATTGTTGACCACTTTGTCTCCACATGATTGTTGACCACTTTGTCTCCACATGATTGTTGACCACTTTGTCTCCACAGGTTTGCATACACTCAGTCCAACGAGCTGTCCACTGAAACCCCACAAATGGCCGATTTAGAGAACAGAATAGTAGAGGAATATGAGATTATATCTGGAGTTACCTTACCTCCAACTTTAACAGAAACTATAACCATGACAGAAACTATAACCATGACAGAAACTCTTCCTATCACAGGTATTACATTATTCCCTTCAACTTTCATATTCCTGAACTTTATATTTATATTTATATGCTATTGGTTATTTTTATTTAAACAATACTGTAATTCATAATTTATAATATGCAAATAATTGTTAAGATGCAGTAAAAAAAGTAACAAAGAAAACTGATGCCACTGAAAAATTAGCTGTCACTGAGAAAACTGACATCACCTTAAACGTAACTGAGCAAGTAGAAGCAGTTTCAGAGAAAATAGAGGTTGTTCCAGAGAAGACAGATAAAACGGTGAAGACGACAGTTACCCCAGGTAATCACAGTGCTGGCAAGTTGCCAGTTACCCCAGGTAATCACAGTGCTGGCAAGCGTGCCAGGTAATTCAAGAATTCAGCATTGTAGCTTCAAAGCTAGTTTAAACTAAAACTGCCCCAGCCCATTTTTAATACTTCTCTTCGGTAACACGACATCTGTCCGACAGCAACATCTGTCAAAATAGTGACAGCACTATTTTCTTGTGTTTGAAGTGATATCTCAAATTTGGCAGATAGAAAATCGCTCAAACTTACACAGATTATTTGTTCCTATAACCACCATACTTTATGAGTTTATGGAAAGTTTCAAGAAAATCGTACGGTAGGATCCGACATAAACTATTGTCCAAACAACCTATTTTCTGAGTCGGAATCTTCTCTTCTTGTTGTAATAATATTAATGTTTTTAGAAAACCTGGAGAAGCAGTATAAGATAACTTTATACATGGCAGAGAAGAAGTCCACTTGGATAGACGCGTACTATGACTGCCAGTAAGCAATAATCAGCATTTTTAGTTTACAAGTAATTTCCAAATATTTTATGTGAAGGTGGATATTTAATAATTCTATTCAGAGACTCTGTTCTGAAGCTAACAATGAATCTAACAATTAGCTCGTGCAATATTTTGTAATACAAGTTGGTTAATGAGTTAATAGATAAGTTCATTACAGATCACTCAACATTAATTCTACATTTTCAGAGGAATGAGCATGACACTTCCAACTGATCTGAACGAGGTGCTGAACACTTACCTGCAAAATTATCTGAGACAGCACCAGATAGAGACCTGGCTCAATGCTGAACAGTCTAATGGTAGGTTAATAAAGACCTGGCTCAATGCTGGACAGTCTAATGGTAGGTTAATAGAGACCTGGCTCAATGCTGAACAGTCTAATGGTAGGTTAATACTTTAATAGAGACCTGGCTCAATGCTGAACAGTCTAATGGTAGGTTAATACTTTAATAGAGACCTGGCTCAATGCTGAACAGTCTAATGGTAGGTTAATAGAGACCTGGCTCAATGCTGGACAGTCTAATGGTAGGTTAGTAGAGACCTGGCTCAATGCTGAACAGTCTAATGGTAGGTTAATAGAGACCTGGCTCAATGCTGAACAGTCTAATGGTAGGTTAATAGAGACCTGGCTCAATGCTGAACAGTCTAATGGTAGGTTAATAGAGACCTGGCTCAATGCTGAACAGTCTAATGGTAGGTTAATAGAGACCTGGCTCAATGCTGAACAGTCTAATGGTAGGTTAATAGAGACCTGGCTCAATGCTGGACAGTCTAATGGTAGGTTAATAGAGATATGGCTCAATGCTGAACAGTCTAATGGTAGGTTAATAGAGACCTGGCTCAATGCTGAACAGTCTAATGGTAGGTTAATAGAGACCTGGCTCAATGCTGAACAGTCTAATGGTAGGTTAATACTTTAATAGAGACCTGGCTCAATGCTGAACAGTCTAATGGTAGGTTAATAGAGACCTGGCTCAATGCTGAACAGTCTAATGGTAGGTTAATAGAGACCTGGCTCAATGCTGAACAGTCTAATGGTAGGTTTAATTCTTTTTTCTTCGCAGGCATGGGATTCAGTCAAGGTTTAATCCAGATTCATTCACTCAGAATAAAGTCTATCAATAAATCATTTAGTCTAATGGCAAGAGTCCTTCATGGTAGCAATCAAGTTTTAGTTTCTTTTTCCCTTGACCAAAAACTGTTATAAAAAGTTAAATGACCACAGCCGCAAAAGGCTGGCCTCAAAAGTTCGAGCTTATAGTGTATAAATACTATTTAAGTAATACTATAAAAGTAATTTCTATCGCAATTTCAAGGTTATTTTAGTGGGCGTAGTGTAGTTCACTACTTTTTAACTCAAGGTTTTAACTCTAGTTTCGTCTTCACAGGGTTTGCATACTGGTTTACTGGTAACCCTATGGACTACTACAACTGGGCTGCTTACAGTGATCCCCAGTACAACTATGGGAGAGCCTACGTGACCCTTAGCTACGATGGTAATATCTCGTTTTCGTTAGAATTGTGTTCTGATATACAAATTGTTCAAATTAGTCAATGATGTAAGTATTGGCGTAACGTTTTTTCTAGTACCGTAGTTAAATTGTTCCACATTGTCCCCCCCCCCCCCCCCCCCCCCCAGTGGCGCCCTCTCCCCTTGTTGGCGCCACTCCCTAAAATTGGCGCCCCCTTAAGATGGCGGTGGGGCCCTTCGTTACGCCACTGGATGAAACAGTGGATACCGTCGAGAGACGTTCTCTTCACGTTTGTTCTTCCCAGGCATGTGGTACACAAAGAGCGAGTATGAGACAAGTCAGTACTACTGTATCAAGATGGAGGAAGTGTCTCCTAAGGCTCTCAAGTTAGGTTATAGAGGTATTGTTTGGTCAAGTATGCCAAATTTGTAAGATTCTTTTATCTAAACTAAATTGTACAAGCGTCCAATGTAGCGTATTATACTTACCATTCAAATAATTAATCGAAATAACTTTTTTTTTCGCAAACTTTATAAATCAGAATTTAAAATCATCAAGTATACAATAGTATCTGACAGTGACAAAAGCTTTCCCTAAAAAATATAATCAAAACAAACAAATTTACAAATAGTTTCTGCCTTTTCAACAACATTGCAACTTAATCCATCAAAAGTCCCAAATTCTATCCGCCCTTTGGGTTGTGAGTTCTGGTATAGTAACTGGTGCTCGAGAACTCACACTTAGAAACATCACAGTAGGACCATCTCTTCCAGAAGTAGGTGGTGAAGCACCAGGGACGATTATCATCACCAGGGGAGGGGTTTCTACAGAATCTGAAAACAATTTTGACATCAAAAATTAATAGTTCTATATACATTACTCGGTAATATTATAGCGGGTTAATTTATGACTGGGAAAATTAATGACCTGGAAAAATATGGCGGACTTTCCAAAAACCCGCAAAAATTATCCCGGTCATAATATTCCCGAGTAAGGTAGTTTAAACGTTTAAAGAATTTTTCATATTTCTTGACACTTGGAAGATCACACAGTTTATTCAAGTTACATAGTTGCTGACTACAAAACATGGGGGTAGTAATTAATTGTGTAACTATGGTAACTAATTGTGTAACTATGGTAACTGATTGTGTAACTATGGTAACTAATTGTGTAACTAAAGTAACTAATTGTGTAACTATGGTAACTGATTGTGTTACTATTGTAACTAATTGTGTAACTAAAGTAACTAATTGTGTAACTATGGTAACTAATTGTATAACTATGGTAACTAATTGTGTAACTATAGTAACTAATTGTGTAATTATGTATGAGAAAGTACTAACCTGTGGTGTCCTACACCGTATCGCTTTATATTAGAATCATCATCATAACCATGGGGGTGGGGCCAGTTGCTGTACCAGTCGTTACAGTTGTAGCTGTTACCTGCCGTCTTCGTCCTGAATTAATTTGGTATAACAAGCTGGACAGTGGACATTTCTTCAACCGCAATATACTTCTTATATTAGATTAGCTGAAAGTTAAGGGGGTGACCCCCCCCCCCCCCCCCCCCCCCCCCCCCCCCCCCCCCCCCCATTACCTGTCACCCCGGTAAAGCTCCCCTCTCTCCGTATAGCAGTCTACGTTCCATTTACATTTAGGAACTCCACAATAGTCCCACTTCCTGGTTAAAGGTGTTTTATAGGTTAGTTACCATAGTTACACAATTAGTAACCATAGTAATATAAATAATGTTCCAACTTACTAGTGAGATCGAATATGTTGTTATTTTATGACAATCGGAGCAAATTTTCAATTAATCAAGTCTAGTAGGAGTAAGGTCCAATTAAGCTGTTCTCTGGGTTAAACTGAACCTGTTTCGGTCAGTAGTGTAACACCAAGGTCCATTAGGGTCGTTATCAGGATTTCTACAGTAATTGTGATTCCCAATGCCCTCTCCTGAGTAGGTGTTGATATTGCTGTGAGGGTAACTAGATCTCCAGTTCTGACAAACCACTCCTTTCTGCGTCTTGGAACGGTAACCTGAAATCAGAGTAAGTGTTGATATTGCTGTGAGGGTAACTAGATCTCCAGTTCTGACAAACCACTCCTTTCTGCGTCTTGGAACGGTAACCTGAAATCAGAGTAAGTGTTGATATTGCTGTGGGGGTAACTAGATCTCCAGTTCTGACAAACCACTCCTTTCTGCGTCTTGGAACGGTAACCTGAAATCAGAGTAAGTGTTGATATTGCTGTGAGGGTAACTAGATCTCCAGTTCTGACAAACCACTCCTTTCTGCGTCTTGGAACGGTAACCTGAAATCAGAGTAGGTGTTGATATTGCTGTGAGGGTAACTAGATCTCCAGTTCTGACAAACCACTCCTTTCTGCGTCTTGGAACGGTAACCTGAAATCAGAGTAAGTGTTGATATTGCTGTGGGGGTAACTAGATCTCCAGTTCTGACAAACCACTCCTTTCTGCGTCTTGGAACGGTAACCTGAAATCAGAGTAGGTGTTGATATTGCTGTGAGGGTAACTAGATCTCCAGTTCTGACACACCACTCCTTTCTGCGTCTTGGAACGGTAACCTGAAATCAGAGTAAGTGTTGATATTGCTGTGAGGGTAACTAGATCTCCAGTTCTGACAAACCACTCCTTTCTGCGTCTTGGAACGGTAACCTGAAATCAGAGTAAGTGTTGATATTGCTGTGGGGGTAACTAGATCTCCAGTTCTGACAAACCACTCCTTTCTGCGTCTTGGAACGGTAACCTGAAATCAGAGTAAGTGTTGATATTGCTGTGAGGGTAACTAGATCTCCAGTTCTGACAAACCACTCCTTTCTGCGTCTTGGAACGGTAACCTGAAATCAGAGTAAGTGTTGATATTGCTGTGAGGGTAACTAGATCTCCAGTTCTGACAAACCACTCCTTTCTGCGTCTTGGAACGGTAACCTGAAATCAGAGTAAGTGTTGATATTGCTGTGGGGGTAACTAGATCTCCAGTTCTGACAAACCACTCCTTTCTGCGTCTTGGAACGGTAACCTGAAATCAGAGTAGGTGTTGATATTGCTGTGAGGGTAACTAGATCTCCAGTTCTGACAAACCACTCCTTTCTGCGTCTTGGAACGGTAACCTGAAATCAGAGTAAGTGTTGATATTGCTGTGAGGGTAACTAGATCTCCAGTTCTGACAAACCACTCCTTTCTGCGTCTTGGAACGGTAACCTGAAATCAGAGTAAGTGTTGATATTGCTGTGGGGGTAACTAGATCTCCAGTTCTGACAAACCACTCCTTTCTGCGTCTTGGAACGGTAACCTGAAATCAGAGTAAGTGTTGATATTGCTGTGGGGGTAACTAGATCTCCAGTTCTGACAAACCACTCCTTTCTGCGTCTTGGAACGGTAACCTGAAATCAGAGTAAGTGTTGATATTGCTGTGAGGGTAACTAGATCTCCAGTTCTGACAAACCACTCCTTTCTGCGTCTTGGAACGGTAACCTGAAATCAGAGTAAGTGTTGATATTGCTGTGGGGGTAACTAGATCTCCAGTTCTGACAAACCACTCCTTTCTGCGTCTTGGAACGGTAACCTGAAATCAGAGTAAGTGTTGATATTGCTGTGAGGGTAACTAGATCTCCAGTTCTGACAAACCACTCCTTTCTGCGTCTTGGAACGGTAACCTGAAATCAGAGTAAGTGTTGATATTGCTGTGAGGGTAACTAGATCTCCAGTTCTGACAAACCACTCCTTTCTGCGTCTTGGAACGGTAACCTGAAATCAGAGTAAGTGTTGATATTGCTGTGACTCTGTGAGGGTAGCTAGATAGTAGATATCTAGTTCTGACAAACCACTCCTTTCTGCGTCTTGGAACGGTAACCTGAAATCAGAGTAAGTGTTGATATTGCTGTGACTCTGTGAGGGTAGCTAGATATTTAGTTCTGACAAACCACTCCTTTCTGCGTCTTGGAACGGTAACCTGAAATCAGAGTAAGTGTTGATATTGCTGTGACTCTGTGAGGGTAGCTAGATATTTAGTTCTGACAAACCACTCCTTTCTGCGTCTTGGAACGGTAACCTGAAATCAGAGTAAGTGTTGATATTGCTGTGAGGGTAACTAGATCTCCAGTTCTGACAAACCACTCCTTTCTGCGTCTTGGAACGGTAACCTGAAATCAGAGTAAGTGTTGATATTGCTGTGAGGGTAACTAGATCTCCAGTTCTGACAAACCACTCCTTTCTGCGTCTTGGAACGGTAACCTGAAATCAGAGTAAGTGTTGATATTGCTGTGACTCTGTGAGGGTAACTAGATCTCCAGTTCTGACAAACCACTCCTTTCTGCGTCTTGGAACGGTAACCTGAAATCAGAGTAAGTGTTGATATTGCTGTGACTCTGTGAGGGTAGCTAGATATTTAGTTCTGACAAACCACTCCTTTCTGCGTCTTGGAACGGTAACCTGAAATCAGAGTAAGTGTTGATATTGCTGTGACTCTGTGAGGGTAGCTAGATATTTAGTTCTGACAAACCACTCCTTTCTGCGTCTTGGAACGGTAACCTGAAATCAGAGTAAGTGTTGATATTGCTGTGACTCTGTGAGGGTAGCTAGATATTTAGTTCTGACAAACCACTCCTTTCTGCGTCTTGGAACGGTAACCTGAAATCAGAGTAAGTGTTGATATTGCTGTGACTCTGTGAGGGTAGCTAGATATTTAGTTCTGACAAACCACTCCTTTCTGCGTCTTGGAACGGTAACCTGAAATCAGAGTAAGTGTTGATATTGCTGTGAGGGTAACTAGATCTCCAGTTCTGACAAACCACTCCTTTCTGCGTCTTGGAACGGTAACCTGAAATCAGAGTAAGTGTTGATATTGCTGTGAGGGTAACTAGATCTCCAGTTCTGACAAACCACTCCTTTCTGCGTCTTGGAACGGTAACCTGAAATCAGAGTAAGTGTTGATATTGCTGTGACTCTGTGAGGGTAACTAGATATCCAGTTCTGACAAACCACTCCTTTCTGCGTCTTGGAACGGTAACCTGAAATCAGAGTAAGTGTTGATATTGCTGTGAGGGTAACTAGATCTCCAGTTCTGACAAACCACTCCTTTCTGCGTCTTGGAACGGTAACCTGAAATTAAACGTCCAAATTTCGTAATAACGTGGGATTTAAGACATGATTGTTTGTTGCCCGGACGGTGAAGAAACTGAGAAATGAGTACAAGGAAGATTGTTGGTTCGATCCATAAGTTGTTTCAAGGTTTAATTAAAAGATTCAAATGAAAAAATGTTTAACTGTAGTACCTGTATAATTATACAACGTGATATTATTATCAGTGCATTGTGTACAACACCAACTACACCGATCAATTGCCAAGCTGCGAAACATTTATTTATTATTATCACTTCGAGATGGCAGGGCCTACCCTACCTGTGTAATACAACCCTTTTTCATTGTAGCACATCACGTTAGTAACCACTGGTCTGATAGAGTAGAAAGAGCCCCGTCCTAGCCCACTAATCTTAGGGTACTGCCGACTATCTGTAACATCAGTCCTGGTGGTCCCCTCGTTCAGCCGGATCTTACTCCCTCCGTACCTGGTCCCACTGAAGATATACCAGTCACCTCTGTTAACCTTGAACGAGCTTATCTTGCCTCTCAGGTTGCTCGCTAGCTGAGTCCTCTTGTCGTAGATCACTGATGTGCTGCCGCTGAAGCTCTTTCCTGTAGCAATGGTGATTTCAGGTCCTTCACAGTCTTGAAGATCGGTTGCTTTGTCCGTGTAGGTGATGCTGTTCTCCGGACACTGCACACAGGACACTGAACTCTCTGTATCTTGGTACGTGTCGTAGGGACAGCTTGTGCAGGATGTCTGGTTCTGCTTGTTCTGGTAGGTCCCTAAAGGACACGCAACACACGTGACCCGCCCGTTAACGATCACCACCTTACTGCCAGGATCACATGACGTGAAGTGACATTCAGAGCTGGAGATGCTGCCTTGACTGTCGGTAGTCATCTTATCCGGACACTTGCTGCAGGATAGACCACCATCTGTTTCTCTGTAATAACCTTTAGCACACTTTTGACATATTTTCGCTCCTGTTTGAGGTTGGTAAGTTCCCCTCGGACAAGTGTAGCAGAACCTCCTCCCCAGCTCTATCTGGTAGGTTCCAGCATCACACTTCTGACAGGATGTAGCTCCGGTGACATTGTTATAGGTCCCCTCACCACACATTCTGCAGGCTGGTGACCCGACAGTGTTCATGTAAGTACCTGGGTGACAGGATGTGCACTGGAGAGATCCTTTAGAATTACTAAACGTTCCCACTGGACAGGACTCACAAGCAGTAACCCCACTAGAGTTGGAGAAGGTGCCCATAACACACCCCTCGCACATGGTGCCATCAGTGTAGTTGCCCGCACCACACGTGCTACAGGAAGCAGACCCCACTGCACTAGTCCAGGTACCAGCTGAGCAGGAAGTGCAGGGAGCTTTACCTGTAGCGGAGTAATGTCCGGCTACACAATCAGAGAGACACTGTGAGCTGCTAGTAGCTCCTGCATCTACAGTGTCAGTACCGTTAGGACAGGACACACAGATAGAGGCACCAGGTGCGGGCTGGTAGGAGTCTCTAGGACACTGATCACAAGACATACTGCCTGTACTGTTAGTGAACTCTCCTGGTCCGCACTGTCTGCAGGGTCCGTACTGTCCGTCGTTTGAATAGTGTCCAGTTGGGCACGCTCCTGTGCAGTTCCCATTCCAGTACACATAGCTAGCTACTTTAGACCTGTAGTCAGACTCAGTCATCATGCTGAAATCAACTCCGTCATCAAAGCTGATAATACCCTCTCCACACATCTTCTTAGCCATGGCACAACTACTGTTGAACTCAGTTAGGGATGAGTCACAGACTGTGATGGCTCCGCTCACAGTGGTACAGTTAGGACAGTTCCCACCCCCTCCATCATTACTGCAGGGACCATCATTAGTCTTGTATTGTGACACTATGATGGAAACAGGCAGCGAGTTTATGTCAGTGCCATCTCCGAATGTGATAGTTTGCTCCTCACAAAGAGCGATAAGAAGTTCACACTCGCTAGTGTAAGTGACACCATCCAGACCACAGACATCACCAGGAGTACCTGTCCAGGTGCTGCAGTCCGGGCAGGACAAGGAGGAGGAGGTGAGGAGAAGGAGAAGGAGGAGGGGTGGCCAGAGGGGCTGAGAATGAGTCATGAGGGTGTTTGCTATTGTTCTTAAGCTGAATGTGAGAGTTTAGGTTAACCTTAAAATGTCAATATTTTCATATCTTTTATAGTTGTATAGTTATACGTGTGGCAGAAAAGCAGATCTCTTTTTTCAAAAGCAAAGTTATATGGAAGTTGAAGAAATATTTCAATTTTATAAGCGTCGTTATTAACGTCAAAACAAAGCTGATAAGATTGAAACTTTTTTTTTCAAAATTCATATTATAGTCAATAATCGGAAATGAAAAACTTCAGTCACCGCAGTCACACTGTTTGACTGTTGAACAACCAACATAAGATACAGAGTGTGGCACCAAACCAAGAACCAATGTGTTCTCATCGAAATGGACAAGATAAGCTGCACATCTAGTTCATGAGAAATAAAATGCAACTTGAGCCTATCCTGACTGAAATCAGTCAGAGGGTACAGGAAACATTTGTCCGAGATAATAATTATAAGAGATAAGAATCAGGTCATTGCATGAGACAATTTATACCGTACCTTCGCACCGTGTTATGCATTACGTGACTACGCTTAGTCGGTCATATTATGGGGGGGGGGGGGGGGGGGGGGGGGGGGGAGGGTTGGGGGGAGGGGAGGGGGGGGAGGGGGGAATCATAGGTGTTAAAAATATGGACTGTTATAAATATGGTTCTTTGGCCCGAAATGGAGCAAATTAGACTCCTATAATATTACCGACTCAGGTAAATTTTATGCAAATTTAGCCGTTAAGAGTTTAAGGGTGACGTAATCTGCAAAATATACAAAAGTCGATTTTTGCATTTGAACTGCTTTGTGAGTAAACACAAAGTTCACCCTTATCTGTAAACATTTTGAAACAATGACGTAAACACTAAGCAGTTAACCCAAACTCCAGTGAAACTTTACTGAAACTGACCTCATACCTCCTCAGATACCTGCTTAGTTAGCGATGTGGAGTATTACAAAGGAGAGACCTTCGGTTCAACATGCAACAGGTAACACACAGAACTTAGCAATGCTAATGCTAATAGCTGTATGCGCTAAGTTAGCGTATAGAGCTATAAGTATTTTATTGGTAGTACGCTTAGATAAAGCATCAAGTATGATCAGTCAGCTGATAAATTGTCGAATTAAAATAGAGTCACGACTTGTCTTCCACCTTTCAACATTAACGTAACTAAGTGATAGCAGAGAACGCACATCTAATAAAGCAAATTTAGAAATAACAATTAACCTCGTTTTTCACCTCATTTAACTCGTATTTAACTTCTTATTTTCCTAGATGCACGTGCTACTTATACAGTACAGTATATGTGGACTGTGTGAGGACCCCTGATTGTAAACACATGACCACACCAGCTCCTCTCCCTCCAACCACACCCCCTCCAGTCAGACTCAGGGTTAAATCTAGTGAGTACCCCCAACCACACCCCCTCCAGTCAGACTCAGGGTTAAATCTAGTGAGTACCCCCAACCACACCCCCTCCAGTCAGACTCAGGGTTAAATCTAGTGAGTACCCCCAACCACACCCACTCCAGTCAGACTCAGGGTTAAATCTAGTGAGTACCCCCAACCACACCCCCTCCAGTCAGACTCAGGGTTAAATCTAGTGAGTACCCCCAACCACACCCCCTCCAGTCAGACTCAGGGTTAAATCTAGTGAGTACCCCCCACCACACCCCCTCCAGTCAGACTCAGGGTTAAATCTAGTGAGTACCCCCAACCACACCCCCTCCAGTCAGACTCAGGGTTAAATCTAGTGAGTTATATCCCCAACCATACCCCCTCCAGTCAGACTCAGGGTTAAATCTAGTGAGTACCCCCAACCACACCCCCTCCAGTCAGACTCAGGGTTAAATCTAGTGAGTACCCCCAACCACACCCCCTCCAGTCAGACTCAGGGTTAAATCTAGTGAGTACCCCCAACCACACCCCCTCCAGTCAGACTCAGGGTTAAATCTAGTGAGTACCCCCAACCACACCCCCTCCAGTCAGACTCAGGGTTAAATCTAGCGAGTACCCCCAACCACACCCCCTCCAGTCAGACTCAGGGTTAAATCTAGTGAGTACCTCCAACCACACCCCTCCAGTCAGACTCAGGGTTAAATCTAGTGAGTACCCCCAACCACACCCCCTCCAGTCAGACTCAGGGTTAAATCTAGTGAGTACCCCCAACCACACCCCCTCCAGTCAGACTCAGGGTTAAATCTAGTGAGTACCTCCAACCACACCCCCTCCAGTCAGACTCTGGGTTAAATCTAGTGAGTACCCCCAACCACACCCCCTCCAGTCAGACTCTGGGTTAAATCTAGTGAATACCCCCAACCACACCCCCTCCAGTCAGACTCAGGGTTAAATCTAGTGAGTACCTCCAACCACACCCCCTCCAGTCAGACTCAGGGTTAAATCTAGTGAATACCCCCAACCACACCCCCTCCAGTCAGACTCAGGGTTAAATCTAGTGAATACCCCCAACTAAACCCCCACCAGTCAGACTCAGGGTTAAATCTAGTGAGTTATACCCCCAACCACACCCCCTCCAGTCAGACTCAGGGTTAAATCTAGTGAGTACCCCCAACCACACCCCCTCCAGTCAGACTCAGGGTTAAATCTAGTGAGTACCCCCAACCACACCCCCTCCAGTCAGACTCAGGGTTAAATCTAGCGAGTACCCCCAACCACACCCCCTCCAGTCAGACTCAGGGTTAAATCTAGTGAGTACCTCCAACCACACCCCTCCAGTCAGACTCAGGGTTAAATCTAGTGAGTACCCCCAACCACACCCCCTCCAGTCAGACTCAGGGTTAAATCTAGTGAGTACCCCCAACCACACCCCCTCCAGTCAGACTCAGGGTTAAATCTAGTGAGTACCCCCAACCACACCCCCTCCAGTCAGACCCAGGGTTAAATCTAGTGAGTACCCCCCAACCACACCCCCTCCAGTCAGACTCAGGGTTAAATCTAGTGAGTACCCCCAACCACACCCCCTCCAGTCAGACTCAGGGTTAAATCTAGTGAGTACCCCCAACCACACCCCCTCCAGTCAGACTCAGGGTTAAATCTAGTGAGTACCCCCAACCACACCCCCTCCAGTCAGACCCAGGGTTAAATCTAGTGAGTACCCCCCAACCACACCCCCTCCAGTCAGACTCAGGGTTAAATCTAGTGAGTACCTCCAACCACACCCCTCCAGTCAGACTCAGGGTTAAATCTAGTGAGTACCCCCAACCACACCCCCTCCAGTCAGACTCAGGGTTAAATCTAGTGAGTACCCCCAACCACACCCCCTCCAGTCAGACTCAGGGTTAAATCTAGTGAGTACCCCCAACCACACCCCCTCCAGTCAGACCCAGGGTTAAATCTAGTGAGTACCCCCCAACCACACCCCCTCCAGTCAGACTCAGGGTTAAATCTAGTGAGTACCCCCAACCACACCCCCTCCAGTCAGACTCAGGGTTAAATCTAGCTAGTATACGCTCAGAGTATTTCAAAGAATGCTCCAGTACTAGAACATACCACTGGTATAATTATTGCACATATACCATTACATTTACATTCCTTACAAGTTTTAGTAGCAATTATACTTCAGAGTGTCACGGAGGAGTAAGGTTCCTGGATTGTTCAACTCCTTGTGAGAGGGAATGTGGGTCTCGTGACTCAGACTGCAGACGTCACTGTTCCCAGGTTGGCTTGAATAACCGATCAGGGGAAGGGATGCTTAAGTAGTAGTAGTAAAATGAATTAAATTAAGTAACGGTGAATAAATCAAAGGAGGCATGAAGAATATGGCGAAAGATTTCATTGTAACCAGCCAGTTACAGCAGTCGAAAGTACAATTTGAATTATAACTACAGCAGGGTGTCATTATTAACTGTTCTCAGTTTAAATGTGGGTTATGGAGAATAGAGGGAACGGGAAATATTCTATTTAAGTTTATAAGATTATATATCAAATTTTAGCTTTTCGCGACCCAAATTTCACCGTTTTGACTGAATTTTTCTTGAATGACAATCTAGCAAGGTCACTGGGGATAACACAAGACACGATTGTGGTTTTGAAAGTTCTATTCCCAAATAAAGCTTTGATAAACGGAAAATCATCAAAAAATAAAAAGAGGTTTTTCAGATTTTTGTAAGATTTAAAAAAGAGTATAGCAATAAAGTAATAGCAATTATATATCCCCACAGGAGTGTTCCTGTCCCCCAGAAAGACCAGTGTTTTATGGAGGATGTTGTGTAGCTGAAGCGGTCTGTATTGAGGACGGCTGGGACTCCTGGTTTTAGACAAATTATACCCTTATACAGAGTTTAATTACTTACCATTCGGAGAATCGATCTCTCAAATCAGAACAGTGCCGATACCAAACTCTCACTACCTAAGACTCGAAGACAATTTTACTACGACACATAATTTGCTGGTGGATTCAACATTTTTAGAAGCCGAATTCTTCTTGCTCCTTAGCTATGTAACATGTCAATCAGACTCAGAGACGAAAGTAAATTTTGCTTGCTGGACATTATTACTTTCAAAATGTGTTCTTGGGTTTAATTCATGGGTTTGTCTCAATGTTTATTTCATTTTTACGTATTATAGATACATCTTTATTTGAATTCGAATTACTATTAAAATAAAAAAATAAAAAAACAAAAGTTTTGGTATTATTCCAACTCGTCAGAAAATAAAGTAAATATTTCTATATTATCATTATTATATTATATTATACATGTACACACATTGAAATACAGATTCATTTTGAATCTAGCCAATTCGCATGATCATTTTAATAGTTTTGTCATCTGACTCTGAATTCTGAATTTGCTGAGTAAAAAAATACATTTTGCTAATTTTGTCACTTTATATTTAATCATCATTCGAAGAGTTGAAATGGTGTGTCCTATAGTTTTTGGCAACGTTCCATCTGATTATACTTGAACTTCTGTTACCAAGGTTACTACGTGTTCTCTTATCTTTCTCTCCGCAAACTAATTACACTGTTTGCTGAACCCTTCATATTGAAATACCACTGTTTTCTCATAATCAACCAAGTAAAATACTTCCTTTCAGCCTGAAGATCGTCTCTTCTGGTTTCCATAGTTACACTACTTGTTACCATAGTTACACTACTAGTTACCATAGTTACACTACTAGTTACCATAGTAACACTACTAGTGAGTTAGTGAGTTTACTTCTGGTTACCAGATGAGTTAGTGGCAAGGTTCTCTCCCACAGATTTGGGATGTCGGCTGCTACTGTTGTTGTTACTGTTGTCAGATTCAGTGGTTGTCATGGTGACTTTGCAACCCAGTGTGCTGGTTATTGGCTGGATTATTGAAGACCTGGAGTAGTTGAATGTTTATTATTTATTTATTGTTTGTTAAGATAAACATCCATTATATTATACTCCTTACCGCTTTCTTACTTTATTGATATTAAATCGGAGGAAGGAAATCAATATCTTGTCTTTATAAATTGCAAACTCACCAAACTTTAGACTTGATGATAAGGATTAACTTGAGGTAAGCTCTTCTGAAGAAAGGGTTCACGATGCCGTAAAGTACCGGATTCACGGCACTCCCACTGAGCAGTAACCAGTGGAACGCTATAACAAATTCTGCAGGGTTTTAACATTTAACATACTAGTATTACATTTGTTAACATACTATTATACATGACGTGTTAACATACTGTTGTCACGTGATCCACACATTACCATATAAGGCATGGTTGTCACGTGATCCACACGTTACCATGGTAACCGTTTACTGACCTGGTCCAATGGTAATGAGAGAGCCGTCAATAAAGTGCAGAAACCCAACTACTGTTATTGGAACTAGGCAGGACATCATGACACCTGCAGAATGATTGCTTTATAAATATTAATATATTTATACTTTTATATAATATTAATATATTATATATTATGTTAGAGCAACTTCACATACATTTCTTGACTAGAAGAGTGTGTAACTAGTAGTGTAACCATGGTAACTAGTAGCTGTAACCATGGTAACTAGTAGTGTGTCCCACTGCTGGACACATTGGAAATTATTACAGTGTGATTCACAGTTATCATAGAGTTATAGTATTGATGAATAACGGACTAACCAATAATTACTAAAACAGTAACAGTATTGCTCTTGTTCTGCCGTTTTTTCATTAACATAGAATCAGATGCTGGTCTAGACAAATCCCCTGCGGCACGTGTAGTTGAGCGCATAAAACTTGCACGTGCAGTCTTCTCGTTTGCACGTGCACAGTTTTTCTGGACCAGGTTAGAGGTGGAGTTGGGAGATGTTCTGGGTATTTCCAGGTCAACACGGACTTTGTTGCAGTCACTAACCGTGTTTCTGCGGTGACTAGAGGATTCTAGTGCTTTTACTAAAGCCTGAAAATAGAGGATTCTAGTGTTTTTACTAAAGCCTGAAAATAGAGGATTCTAGTGCTTTTACTAAAGCCTGAAAATAGAGGATTCTAGTGCTTTTACTATAAAAGCCTGAAAGTAGAAGAAATGGTGATTTACAGAAAGTGTAGTGGTTGTGGTTGTTTATAGTATCACGACGTCTTGCATAATGACGATAAAACGTAATTTTTATTGAAAAGCAGTAATTTAATCACGCTTAAAAATATGAACCATGGATTTAAACTTTTAGATTTTCCTCTTCTCAATAACACTTACTTCATCTTTCTTAGAAATAGACTTGGCGATTGTGAAGATCTTGACATAGCAAATGGTTATCATGAGTAACGGAATTGGCACAAATATCACCGAATACGTCAAACAATACACCTGAAAAACTGTGTCATTTTTTAACTGTGTCATTTTAAATCAAAATCTCCTAATTTTACAAACGCTAATTAATATTTTAAGTCGGTATTTTTTTAAAGTTCACAAAAAGTTTTTTTGATGTGACTGAATCGGTAATTCAGTATGTTTTTAAAAGTTCTATTCGTCACACTTTGGTCTGTCCAAAAAAAATGATGAAATGTCCTAAAATACTTACTAAGATACCCGAAGATACACAAAAACGTAAAATACCTGAAAATACACTAAAATACCTGAAAATACCTGAAAATACTCACTAAAATACACTAAAACACCTAAATATACTCACTAAAATACACTAAAATACCTGAAAATACACTAAAATATCTGAAAATACACTAAAATACCTAAAAATACCTGAAAATACTCACTAAAATACACTAAAATATCTGAAAATACACTAAAATACCTGTCCGTAAAGTTCCTGAGGGCAGATGAGTCCACAACTGTAGGACCAGGTCGAATAGTTGAATTCTAGTCCCTGGTAGCTGAAGAGAGGTGGAGAGTTGCACAGCCCTGCTACCACCCAGATACCAACTGAAATATAGTACTTATGTACATCAACGAGAGTAACTAGTAGTGTAACTATGGTTAACTAGTAGTGTAACTATGGTAACTAGTAGTGTAACTATGGTAACTAGTAGTGTAACTATGGTAACTAGTAGTGTAACTATGGTAACTAGTAGTGTAACTATGGTAACTAGTAGTGTAACTATGGTAACTAGTAGTGTTACTATGGTAACTAGTAGTGTAACTATGTTAACTAGTAGTGTAACTATGGTAACTAGTAGTGTAACTATGGTAACTAGTAGTGTAACTATGGTGACTAGTAGTGTAACTGTGGTAACTAGTAGTGTAACTATGGTAACTAGTAGTGTTACTATGGTAACTAGTAGTGTAACTATGGTAACTAGTAGTGTAACTATGGTAACTAGTAGTGTAACTATGGTAACTAGTAGTGTAACTATGGTAACTAGTAGTGTAACTATCAGGGGTGTAGGAAGCGGGGGGGCAGGGGGCCGAGGCCGTCGCCCCCATGAAATCTGGGCAAGGGGCCAAAAAGGGCCAACTTTTAAATTTAGGTTTCTAAAAATTTTACCGAAAATTTTTTGAGTCACAAATTTTTTAAAGTCGCAAATTTTCAAAGTCAAAAATTTTCAAAAGTAGTTTCAAGTTTTCTTGGAAACTACTTTTGTTCATATTTCATGCTACCCTGATCATTATGAGCCGAAAATATTATTTTCGGTTTTTGAAGTTCGATGTACGATTTTGGACTACCTTACTCGGGAATATTATAACCGGGATAAAGTGGTGGGTTTTGGAAGATTCCACCATATTTTTCCCGGTCAAAAATTTTACCAGTCATAAAAAACCCGCCGACTCAGATTATGGGGTTCCAAGGGGGTGGTGATCATCATATTTTACCTGAAGTCTCATATGTGCTAGAGAAAACTTTTGAAGCAGTGGATGGAGGGCTGTAACTTTATTGGCGGTTGCTACCATAATTTCGTTATAAAAATCACAATTTGGTTATAGAAATCAGATTTCAGGGTGGACCGTGATTCTCACTTCTCTTGCCCATGAATCAGTGAATCGTAGAGAAGAAAACAATTTATATGTTATAGAAGAAAAAGAAAATAATAATAATATATAATATATATTATAATAATAATGTCTCTAAAGATTGATCGCTTCTCGTGTGCAGTGTGTAGACTAAAGAAAGAGGGAGTTTTTCCCGTTAAAGTAACTTGTGGCCACATCCCGCTAGAAGTGAGTAAACTGTGCCACTATTTCATGGTCCACGGTGGATTGATTACTGGAGCAGTTGAAGATGCAAAGCCAAGACGTTCCCCAATACCAAGCGGTGGGCAGGAAATTAAGCTCCGGCTGACCTTCAGAGCAGTAGCCCCATTAGTGGACAAAATGAAAGTCTTGTTAAGACAACAATACAACTTCGAATTTGACGGTCAGCAGCTCAGGGGGATATCAATAATAATAATGGCGGGGACATTAGCGATAATGAGAATGAGAATACGCTTTAATGAAGATTTGACTTATTATTGCTTAGATTTATTTTCCTTTAAATAAGTAACAAAAACAGTAATTTCGGTTGAAAATTTGTTGACCTCTGAAAAAAAACTTGAAAGGTCGGCCACCGGTAAATACATGACCGGGATAATTTGGCGGGTTTTGGGAAAGTCCGCCATATTTTTCCCGGTCATTAATTTTCCCAGTCATAAATTAACCCGCTATAATATTCCCGAGTAAGGTAGACGGTTCCCCTTTTATTTATTATTTGTAATGCGATCTCGGAAGGCAGGCCTTCCCTTCGCAATACGAGCTCGGAAGCGGAAGCTCTGCTTTCAGAGGAACGTATCGAGAATTTTCTAAGTCAAAATTTTTCAAAGTTTTTCTGGAAACTACTTTTGTTTATGTTTTATGCTACCCTGATCATTCTGAGCCGAAAATATTTGTTCGGTTTTCTGAATTCCGTACCTACATTCGGAAGGTTGTGGATGTGATTGGTTTCATATACTAATTATAGAAAACATGATATTTGGCCCACAGATTTAAAGGAAAATGCGCAATTTGATGCGGAGAACTGAAAAAAATCGCGATTTGTCGTGAGGCAAGGATTTGAAAAATCGCGATTTGTCGTGGCAAACGTGAAAAATCGCGATACCTAAATTTCCTTTTGTCCTTACCCCGACAATTTTTCGAAATTTAGGCTTTGGCGCGAAGCAAATCATTCCTACACCCCTGGTAACTATGGTAACTAGTAGTGTAACTGACCTATAAGTTTAGTGACTCTAGCCCAGGTAATGTTGCGGTGGTAATGTAGCGGGTACTGGACCATGTAGAACTTGTCTAAAGAGGAACAAGCCACTGTCCATACGCTGATCAGTAACATTGTGTTGTCCACAAACGCTGAAAAAGAGTCAGAGTTATATAATATGGTAACTAGTAGTGTAACTATGGTAACTAATAGTGTAACTATGGTAACTAGTAGTGTAACTATGGTAACTATGGTAACTATACAGCTGATCAGTTATTGCATCTAGTTCAAGTTGTTTTTATTTATATACTTAATAATTTAATTGGTCAGCTTCATCCTAGTCTGGTTTAATCCAAGGACCAGTGTGTAAAGTCTTAATACAGACTGATTGTCTCTCATAGTGTAACTATGGTAACTAGTAGTGTAACTATGGTAACTAGTAGTGTAACTATGGTAACTAATAGTGTAACTATGGTAACTAGTAGTTTAACTATGGTAACTAGTAGTGTAACTATCGTAACTAGTAGTGTAACTATCGTAACTAGTAGTGTAACTATGGTAACTAGTAGTGTAACTATGGTAACTAGTAGTGTAACTATGGTAACTAGTAGTGTAACTATGGTAACTAGTAGTGTAACTATCGTAACTAGTAGTGTAACTATCGTAACTAGTAGTGTAACTATCGTAACTAGTAGTGTAACTATCGTAACTAGTAGTGTAACTATCGTAACTAGTAGTGTAACTATGGTAACTAGTAGTGTAACTATGGTAACTAGTAGTGTAACTATGGTAACTAGTAGTGTAACTATGGTAACTAGTAGTGTAACTATGGTAACTAGTAGTGTAACTATGGTAACTAGTAGTGTAACTATGGTAACTAGTAGTGTAACTATGGTAACTAGTAGTGTAACTATGGTAACTAGTAGTGTAACTATGGTAACTAGTAGTGTAACTATGGTAACTATAGTAGTTTAACTATGGTAACTAGTAGTGTAACTATGGTAACTAGTAGTGTAACTATCGTAACTAGTAGTGTAACTATCGTAACTAGTAGTGTAACTATCGTAACTAGTAGTGTAACTATGGTAACTAGTAGTGTAACTATGGTAACTAGTAGTGTAACTATGGTAACTAGTAGTGTAACTATGGTAACTAGTAGTGTAACTATGGTAACTAGTAGTGTAACTATGGTAACTAGTAGTGTAACTATGGTAACTAGTAGTGTAACTATCGTAACTAGTAGTGTAACTATCGTAACTAGTAGTGTAACTATGGTAACTAGTAGTGTAACTATGGTAACTAGTAGTGTAACTATGGTAACTAGTAGTGTAACTATGGTAACTAGTAGTGTAACTATGGTAACTAGTAGTGTAACTATGGTAACTAGTAGTGTAACTATGGTAACTAGTAGTGTAACTATGGTAACTAGTAGTGTAACTATGGTAACTATAGTAGTGTAACTATGGTAACTAGTAGTGTAAAGGTGTAACTATGGTAACTAGTAGTGTTACCTGAGAAGTTGCAGAGGGTTTTACCCAGCAACCACTTGTTAGCCGCCACAGATATTACAGTTATAGGCATGTTCCACACTCCTACCACAAAGTCTGACACGCTTAGGTTCATTAGGAAAGCGTTGCTTATACCTAGTGCCTGCGGGGGAGTCTGTTTTAGTTCCAATGGTATTGATAAAAGCCTTGTGACGTCATCATCACAACTCGATGATGTCATCATTATTACTTGATGACGTCATCATCACAACTTCAATGGCATTCATAAAAGCCATGGCTATAAAACCTGTGACGTCATCATCACAACTTGATGGCGCCATCATCACAACTTGGTTCCGCGTAGGTTGACATGATTAAAGTTTATATGTGCCCATCCTATTCATTCCTAAACATGCTGTTATTAATTATCTACACAGCTGATTCTTAATTGTCTTACCCGTTTGTCATAGAGAAGAGCAAACCAAAAAAGAGCATTACCCAATACAGCCACCACCGCGAACACAGACATACTGGATCCAAGAGCCATCCTCGCTGCTACCCCCGACAAGCCTGTAGTGTTTGTCATTCTACTATTCTAGTGTGGATAATTTCACGTGTCAGCAAAGAAAACTTCGAACGTTAGATACAACAAAAAACAAGTGAAGGTCTCTTCCGAACGTTGGGATGGCCTGAGGTGCTTATCTACTTTTCAGTAACCCTAAGCCACTCTGTGCCGAGGCACTATACTAGCTGTAAGGGGATTAGTCCTACCAGCCAGAGAGTATGTATCACCAGCCGAAGCCGTACCAAATCACAGCTTGGTAACTGGCCGACTTGCATCCGACCGGATTTGAACCCGGGTCATCTGCTTGGGGGGCGATCGTGTTACCACTACACCACCCGGTCGACAACTACTACAACTAGACTTAAGTAAAACTCGAATAGTATATAGAAAACAAAATAGCCTACTGCTTGAAAGCATAAACTGTTGTCAACTTGCATTTAATGGCAGAATTCAATTGCTTATGAAAATCAGTCCAGAACTGTTATTTTGTTGTGAAAAATCAAACATTTTACAATTACTGATATTTCAAACAAAGGAAATGGCAACCAAAAAGAAAAATCCGGTTATACTAATGTTCGAAAAACTTCTGGAGTATTAGCAAAGTGGACCGTGTCCAATGTTTACTTTTACCGAACAAAAAGATATGATATCAATTTAAAATACCATTCTCAAATGCAAAATTATACCTCATATTTGAAATAAATTACTTCATGTAAATCAACTTGAAAAGTGATAATATAAACGTTTAAATAATTTTACCTTCAAGACCTGTGGGCCGAGATCTCATATAATTTCAAATCTACAGACGTTTGAATAGCTAGTAGGCTACAATTTTGTATTGTATACATAATATACAAAATAAAACAACGGGTTACGAATATAATATATACTGTATAATAGTATATATGAATAATCCCTCAACACTAACACTTACAAGAAACTGATGTTACTTGGGTTGATTTGAAGATGAGGATATTATATTTGGTATCAAGTCTAAAGCTATTCAGCCTGAGCTGGACAGTTCACGAAAATTTACTAATGAACTTGCACCCTCTGGACCCAATGACCGTTTTGTATAGAAAACCATATATAGTACCCAATACACATACTGAACTCACGGAAATAATATCCCAATTGGATAAATCTAGTGATATCCCAATCCATATATAATCAAAAAGTGGTATAATCTGCCCGGTTTTAGCCTATGAGTATTAGTAAGTTAGTATTAGTGACTTCAACAAACTCATGATGAAAGTTGGGAAAGTTATACCTATATTATATATATAGTAACCATGGTAACCAGCTTAATAATATACCTATGGCTATATTAGTATATTCAAGAAAGGAAACCAAGAGGATGTAGGAAACTACAGACCTGTCTTATATAATACCCTGCCTATATTCGGAAAGACATTTGAAAAAGTGATATACAGCCGTATCTATAGTTTTGCATTGTCGCAAGATATCCTTGATGAAAACCAATTTGGTTTCCGCAAGTCCATTTCACCAGCCAAGCTGTCCATAGTAACCAGCTCAGTAATCATGGTAACCAGCTCAGTAACCATAGTAACCAGCTCAGTAACCATAGTAACCAGCTCAGTAACCATGGTAACCAGCTCAGTAACCATGGTAACCAGCTCAGTAACCATAGTAATTAGTAACCAGCTCAGTAACCATGGTAATCAGCTCAGTAACCATAGTAACCAGCTCAGTTACCATAGTAACCAGCTTAGTAACCATGGTAAACAGCTCAGTAACCATAGTAACCAGCTCAGTAACCATAGTAACCAGCTCAATTACCATAATAACCAGCTCAGTAACCATAGTAACCAGCTCGGTAACCAGCTCAGTAACCAAGCTGTCAATTATTCCCTCAGGATTATTGAAGAGAGCATCAAAAAACAAAACCATGTCGTGGGTATATTTATACTTTTATAAATTTGAGTAAAGCGTTTAATTTAACATTGTACGCTCCTAAAAAAGTGTTGGATTATTCAACATTTTAAATTAATTAAAACACTACAAATGTATTATATTTATTGAAAATTTTACAGAAGCAATTGTTTAATGTAGTATAGAACGAGGGGTCCTAATCCAAAATGGTAGTTTTATATTTCATTTTAAATCAGTTCTATGGTAGTCTGTTATGATATTTAATAGAACTAAAACCCATCATATCTATATAATCATATCAACGTTGACTTTTTAACAGATGATTTATGAAAAAAGCTGATATGATCGGCAAAACAAGTTTAAACTGCATAATATGCTGTGATGGAGGTTCATTATAATTGATCGCAAGCGTTAAATAGGAAAACAAGTTTAAACCGCATATCATGCTCAAATGCTGTGATGGAGGTCTATAAATGATCCTTAAATAGCGATATTTCTATTTCTCACGCACCAGTTGCAGTACGCACCAACGCTGGTTACACTGTTTCAGTGACAGGTTACCATGGTAACTGAGCTGGTTACCATGGTTACAGCAATCAATCCCACTAGTCACCTCTTTAAACTGTCTATTATATACTAATACGTTACTTTGTTTATTAGTATATATTAGCTTTTTAGTACACTGTTGCAGTTAATGAAAGAAATGAAAAGGTGTAGAGAGGTCTTTTTGTTACAAATTTTTGTTAAGTAAAACTCGATTACTGCTAAACTCAAGATTGCCTATTGCGAACTCATCAACTTATCATAAAAATGTGCTGTCATCTTTCGCTGCTCCCACGATTCACTGGCTGTTATAATATAACTTCCACTGTTCCCACGATTCACTAGTTGTAATATAACTTCTCGTTTACTCATGCTACACAATTTCCCATTCTGCCGTGTGCACTTTCGCAGATATAATATACATATTGAAATATTCAATTTTAAAATTGCACGAAATATTTATAAAACTTTAAAACAGGGTGGTCAAGTAAAAATAAAATATATTCAAAAACGATTGAATTTGTCATTTTTAAACCTTAATATCGTACGAGGGTGATGTTGACAAAATATTAGTTATTATTACATATATTTGTCTCAATTAGTCGACTTAAACAGAATGGTTGATATTATGATAAGTCAACTTAAAGATTTGGCAATACTGAGGAGGGTTACCATGGCAATATTATACAGAGGAGGGTTACCATGGCAACATTACTTTATATGGGGGGGGGGGGGGTTACCATGGTACTCGACTTCGACTCGACTTAGGGCGGCTTCAACGTCCGAACAGAGATAGTTTTTTTCCAAATCTGTCTATCCAGCATGAGTTTGTTAATCTCCTTGCTGTCGATTACCATGGTAACATTACCTTATATGGGGGAGGTTACCATGGCAATACAGAGAAGAGTTACCATGGTAACATTACTTTATATGGGGGAGGGGTTACCATGGCAATACATAGGGGGGTTACCATGGTAAAATTACCTTATATGGGGGCCGGGGTTACCATGGTAACATTACCTTATATGGGGGGTTACCATGGCAATACAGAGAAGAGTTACCATGGTAACATTACTTTATATGGGGGATGGAGGGGGTACCATGGCAATACATAGGGGGGTTACCATGGTAAAATTACCTTATATGGGGGCCGGGGTTACCATGGTAACATTACCTTATATGGGGGGTTACCATGGTAATACAGAGAAGAGTTACCATGGACCATGGTAACATTACTTTATATGGGGGGGGGGGGGGGGTTACCATGGCAATACAGAGGAGCCCGGCATAAGTAAAAGAGAGAGGTTTGACAATGATTTAGGATCATCTACCACTACCATTGAAAGAAGTTGGGACAATTAACTCTAAAGAGGAACTGCGAACCCTGATGCGGGACAGGAATCCAAATATATATGGAGAGGGTTATCTGGCTTAGATCGTACTTAGTTCCGACATAGTAGTAGTATTACACGCACGCAACCTATCTGATAACTCAACAATAAATCTGCATTAGAACCTTCTATAACTGATTGATATAACAACCTGAAGGTACATCGTCAGCCTGACTTTTTTCATATCTAAAACTAAACTGAAGGTACATTTATTCAATTCTTACTCACAGTGATTAATAACCTGGCATATGTTATATGTTTATATATATATATATAGATATATGTGCAAATATAATATAATATTAAATATATATTATGTAGTTATGTATGCGCTTATATACAACAGGTGGAGAGGGGTCCAAAAGCCAGTCGGAACTTATTTATCAGTTACTGGGTGACCAATTGAAATAATTCGTTTTGGTACGACTTGCTATTATCACTCATTCGAGGAATATATTAATCAAATAAAAACGATACTCATTTTTTTGAATGAATGTTCAAAAACAAGGTTTACAAGGTTTACAAGGTTTACAAGGTTTACAAGGTTTACAAGGTTTACAAGGTTTACAAGGTTTACAAGGTTTACAAGGTTTACAAGGTTTACAAGGTTTACAAGGTTTACAAGGTTTACAAGGTTTACAAGGTTTACAAGGTTTACAAGGTTTACAAGGTTTACAAAGTTTACAAGGTTTAAAAGGTTTACAAGGTTTACAAGGTTTACAAGGTTTACAAGGTTTTGTATTCGCCGTCTTTAAATCAAATCGTGAGATGCTGGGTTGCGATACGAATGCGTATTGCACAATTAATACTACAAAGTGACAAAATTTATGACTTTGTCCCAATTTACCGAAGAATAGCTGTTGTGTGAATACTATGGTAACCATGGTAACACCACCATATAAGCCATAAGGTACCAAATCATCTTTTATTGACACTCATGATCATCCCCGCATCCAAATACATACTAATTAAATTAATCAAAATGCACACAGTAGGATTGTCACCATGCACCAAGCTGGCTAAATTTATCAGCTGGGCCTGTCAATCCATTTGATGACATTTTAATACCAATGCCTTGCAAATAACAGGATTTGGGAGATGATTTGAATCGATAATGATACCTGGAAGTCAGTTTCAATTAAATATATTCCAACT